ACAGATATTATATCATGTTAAAGGATGCATACATTTTGTTTTAGGCAGAATTGAAAAAAAAATAAAAGTAAAAATCTTGTTTTTATGACATCTACGGTAAATTGTATTTATGTAACCTTCAAAAGAGCATTGTTTGTGAGCTACTGGTATTCATCCAGGAACTACAACTATTTCCTATGACAATTCACTTTCCCTTCAAACCAAGCCTTATTTCAGTAAGATAATCTCAGTTCACTGAAAGGTAAGCTACTTTTAAATATTATACAGTATATATAAAAAACAATAGAGATGGAGGATGAATATTTAGCTAAAATTGTAATAATTCATAAATAATTCATGTCACTTTATTGAAATTGTATAACCAACAAATTGGATAATACAAAATATCCCAATAGTACAGTAATATAAGTATTGTACTCTATAAACCCTAAAGTACTTTTCAAACCAAATACAATATAAGAAAAATTGTAATAAATTCTATCAATTACTATAAAATGGTAGTGAAGAAGACAGCGGAATGTATGCATGCATCTTACAGTATGTAAAACATTTACAATTTTTTGTTTTATTTTTTAGGGATAGACAATTCAGTTTGCACCAATAAATAACATCTGAAAAAATGAAAACGTTGGGTGTGATCATAGCAGCTTTTGTTCTGCAAACCGCACATTCTGCTGAAGTAACTTTACCTGCAAATCAAGTAGCCAATCCTAATCAGATATTTACTTTTGTGTGTATCACAAATCTGACAGATACAGAGGAGGATGAAAATTACAACATTAAATGGAAAAAGAACAATGAGCTTATTGCAGTAAATAACACAGTGCTAAGGTACAGTGGACAGATTTCTAGTGTCAGATCCCCTACCCAGCATCAACTAATAATATACAATGTTAGTGCAGAAGACAGGGGAATGTACACTTGCATCTTGGAGTTCACATCTTCAGATCTTCCTTCCACAAATTCCTCAACAAACTTACTTATTAATGGTTACTTGCCCAAACCATTCTGCACAAAGCCTGTAAGCTATGAAACAGGACCGACTACACTAGTGTGTTTGTCTGAAGTAAGTATTCCTATAGTGAAGATACAACTGCTTAATAGTACAACAGGAGGTATTGTAGCAGAGGTTGTCCCAGATACCAATGTTGGTATTTTCAAATTGGAACACACAATTGATGTCAATGAGATTGGAGATGGTCAGTTTACATGCAGAAGCAGTTTCAAAGATCACAATCTCCCTGAAACTAAGGAATGTTTGATTCAATATTCAGATATTATTCCTTCAACAACTGAGACTACATATGAAATGCAGACAACAGGCAACAATAAAACAAGGATAATAACAGTTCAGTCTGAAAATATGACAGCACCAAAGAAACAGCTTCAACAGCCTATTCTAGATGGTTCCAACCTGATCATTACTCTGTCTCTATGCTCAGCATTTCTAATTGTATGTATCATTATTATTTGTCTACTATGCAAGAAAAAATCATGCTCTACAAAAGAAAGAGAAAAACATGATTACACACAATGTGTTCCAATAAGCATCCATTCAATTGATGGAGTGGAAACCAAAACCTCAATTCATAACACCTATGAAATGAAAAGTATGCGCAATAAAGGAGAAGTTCAAATAGTTTTACAAGAAATGCGTCCCTACCATGGTAAAGGGTTACAAAACTTTTCTAATGTTGTGGAAAGACATATGCAAAGAAGTCTTTCAATGGAAGCAATAGAGGGCGGCACACAAGGAGATTACACTGACATTGGGCCATCCCGTTGGTACTGACAAGGTATCCTCACTAAAGAATTTGAAAGAGAATTGTGGCAAATAAAACATGCAACAAATGAAGTAAATGAGCAAGAGGATCATTACTATGCATCAACAGATTATTATCCAGAAGATAATTCTTATAAACCAGCAGATATTATAGTTTATGCCTATACAGAAGATAACCCAAGTTACCAATCTCCAGACTATCCACAAGAGATGAATTTAAACAAATCTGCAGATGATCAATATGCCAATGATCAGCACCATGAATCTACTGATCATCAGAAGAAAGATCGACTGCCAGAGCTTAATTACCAAGAGAGATCTTCAGACAACCCTGTGGAGACTCATCAGTACGAGTCTACAGACCTAGAAATTAATCTGCCCAATACTTATTCAGACTATTCTTCTTTAACTGATGAAGCACATTATGAAAATTTAAATTTATTGGGTGAAAGTTTGATGTGTTCAAATGATTATACTCTTGAAGATAATCCTTGTTATCAGTCAACAGATAATTCAAGAGATCATAAAAACTTGACAGATTATCTACAGGAGGATAATCCTTGTTATGTTACAGTTTGACAAGCCTGGCTATGGGTGAACTAGTTGAGTGAATTGTATAGGAATAAGAAGAAACATGTCTGATTTTTCTTTAATTAAATCTTGGTTCATTACACTTAAATGTGTTGCTTTTAGCTTCTTTTCGATCGTTTAGGTATATCATTCATGATTTACACTACAACAGTGAAAACAAGATTGCAGAAGAATGGAAAAACTTCGCAAGCAAGTAAGAAAAGCTGAAGCTGACATTAATTTTCCCAACTGTATAGGAATACTTTTAAATGGCGGTCTTGTGAAAAACACAATTTGTGATCAAGTTTTTGATTTTCAAATAGTAATTATTATATATCTTGATACTGAATATGGCATTATTTCTATGATATATCTTTAAAGCTTTAGACCATATGACATATTACACACATATAATGCATGGTGAAGACATATCACATCCATATAAATATGATGTCATATCATGAAGGTATACCTCCATGGTCATATCATACCCGCATATGGTAAGACTTCATTCCCAGTTGGTAGAGTTTGGAGACAATATACATGGTCAAAATCAATGCATCTTTCAGTTTCACTTACTACAAAGTGAGAAACTGGCATCAATGAATGTGTTAATTGGCTAGATTGCACAAATTGACAAACATGTTAAAAACTTTACTCAAACTAATTTTTCCAAATAACGATAATGTGTATTTTATTTACAGGTATTACTGATTATAGGGATTCAATTATTTCAATTTTATTCAATGCAAAAGACAGACTTGGTGCAATTATTTTCTTTCACAGTTTGAAAACTATGCGAACTAACTACACCTACATCAATGCTGCCTCCAATAGTCAGCATTTGTCATAGATGCAAGTTAAACTAATTTGCAGGTGGGAAATTTTGTTTAAAAAACCTCCCCCTAGGGGTCGTGGGCATTCCGGGGCATGCCCCCCCCCCCGAAAAAAATCCTTCCCTAGATGCTCGGAAATACATTCTTTAAGCTAGTATTTTTGTCACTCTCATGAGCCAGGCACGTGGCGGTTGTAGTGTGTTCTTTGATCTTATCCGATCACACTGCATCAAGTTTTATCTAATCTCACTCAAAAACTAGTAAGAGATTTTCAAATATTTACCGACCCTTATCAAATTTTATATTGGGAAGGTTACTTAAAATAGAAAGCCAATTACCTCAATTAGGGTGTGGTGCGCCACCATTTAATTGTGTTCAAATGTGTAACCAGGGTGAGGTGCGCCACCATTTATTTGTGTTTGAATGTATAACTAGGGTGTGGTGTGCCACCATTTATTTGTGTTCGAATGTGTTACAACAAAACCATCATATTTTAAGCACTGTAATGATGGATATTTAGCGAGAGAGCAACATATATTTTTTATTATAGGCAATATTATGTGTGAGATTTTGGTCCTCAAACGCGAGAGCGTGAGACAGACCGCAAATGCTGACATCTCAAGCCGAATGCGTGAGCCTTGACGCGTATGATTTGTCGATTGGTGGTGACACACCTATTTTTTAGGTATATTTCACCGAGTTATTTGTAGCCAATTTTGTGGCACCTACCATATTTGCCAGATTCAAGATTCAAGAAATTTTATTTGTCCATTTAAAAATACAGAAAATTGTATTGCTTGGCAGATGACGAATGTACAGATTGGACAAAAATAAAAAGAATGCTCAACAAATCTGGGCCAAGTTGAGAGTACTGGCCTACTTTTGAAAGTAACATGAACAAAACAAACTGAAAACAAATAGACAAACTGAATTGTAATACAGATTAACAGCAGTCACTTCTAGACACCCTCTGGATGGGCTTTCCTTGAAATAAACAATAGAAACTGCCAGGGTAAAATATGGTATGATTGTCTATTATCAATCAAAAGTTGAAAATCAACATTGTAGCTTTACATAATTGATGTAATTTGCGGTAGGCCATCCATGGGAAAGGAAGTATGTTTCTGTGGGAATGCCTCTTATTGTGTGGGATGGCTTCCTTAAAAAGAATTCTGACGCCTACAAATTGGCATGTCTAAATTTAGAATGCTAGTTGTGGACAGAACTGAGTTGAGTTTTAAGCAAATTATAACAAAGCTTAGTTTACTACTGTCTATTGAAAATAATTGTAATCGATATTATATTTTACGCATGACCGGGACGTTATGGTGCCTTACAATTTAAAACAGCATTTTCTAACAACTACATTTATAACCTACATCACAATTTTGTATCTTAGACTCAATAAGCATTGAATATATTTAGCTGTACTAGTCCATAATAAATAGAAATTAAGTTGCACTCTGAGTGCATCATTCACATGAAGAAGTTTACTGTGTACCATGAAAGTTTATGTTAATAAAAATATTAAGTATAGTCTCAATAAGAATTGTTTGATAAAATAATTTTTGATAGTCTATGCCTTGCCCATATATAGTCATGATGTGCCTATATATGGTCATTCAGTGATGTCATCATGACCATATTTAGGCATGTCACATGTTTTTATATAAAATTTTATAGTGTGGATAGGACTTTTAGACATTAAGTAAAGTAATGCCATCGATACAAAATGTAATGGTTGCCAAGAATGCTAAACCCTTTGAAACACTTTCTTTATTGTTGCACTGTATAGACAATAACTCATGTACTGTAATGTAGACACACCCCAAAGTACATCCGTTCCAACATATGGTTCCTGTTAAAAGATGACCTTTGACAAATGATGCCTCAATGGATCAAGGTATTATATTTTCATATCAACATCCTAGAGGCCTAGCTTATCTTTCTTTCTCTGATATAAATACACAAACTCATCTCTAGTGCCATTATCAAAAATAAATTCAATTAAAACATTTCCATTTCTGTACATATTTGAATATGCATACATTGTGAGGCACAGAGATAATGGGAGACATACCACACAAGACAGAGGCGTCTATGGATGTAATAATGTGCAATAAATAAAACAATTATACTTTTAATATTTCATTTGCCATTCAACGACAGAAATATATGCTATTTGCACAAATGCTAAAAAGTGTGTAGCGTTGCGTGTATGGTGTTGATCGTGAAATCAGGACTTAAGACAGACGCTCGTCGGCATTAAACGTATGGATTGTGCGTGTAAAGTAGCAAGCAGCAGCGTATTTAGAAGTCTTGAAATGAAGGTGCTGATAGGGGCACGAATGTGATTTTTAACTACTCGACCACGGTTTTGTTGGGGGGAAGGGGGAGACTGGGGCGCAAGTAATTTTTGGAGGGGCGTGTGTGCCCTGTGTACTCTCCCCACCCCAGAAACCCCACTGGCAGCATGACAAAGAAAGTTGCACAAAATGTTCCGGATTGCCAACTCATTATCCAGTGACCAGGGTGAAAAAATTTTGCCAGTGCCTTGTATATTCTCTGGATTGTGATAGGTGCTATATAAATTCAGATTTTTAAAAAAAATAGCTGCCAAACAATAATATTATTGAAAGAATTATAGTAAAATCTGTAAATCAATGAAAATGTAAATGCCTTTTTTAGATGGTACAGTTAATAACTTATTTGATAATTTTACAGTAAGTGAGCAATACTTACTGTAAAATGATCAAATAAGTTTACAGTAAGTGAGCAATACAACGGTTAAATTGACTGATGAAGGGTTTTAAAATTTTATTCAGAATATATTTACTTATTGTAAGTTCACAATGAGATAAAAACCATTCTATGAAAGCAAACTGGAAAATCTATTTTCGACTGACAACTTCATTGTCATTTTATGTATTTTCAAAAATTATTTCTGTATCCAATTACCTAGTATAGTATTAAAGAAACAAACAAAATGTATTCTATTTTTCATCAATTTCAACTTCCACACAAACAGTAGGAGTTTGAATCAAAAGAAAAAGCTGACATGCTTACATACCGTGGAAACACTACATACGTCACAGGGGAAAAAAAACAATGAAAAGGTGACTATAAGCCTGGGTAAATAGAGCTACACTTCTTTGATATGGCATTCATTGTACAGACCTTCCATGCATGATCAAGTATGCCCCCCATTGAAACTTACTCGGGTATAAAAAGTCAGGTTTTGGTATGTAGGCGTAGCAGACAACAGAAGATAATATGCATTGAATACACAGCATTCATACAGTTATGACAAGGCAGTAACAAGATTTCAAATTTTAAGGTTTTTAAGGTTGAATCACAGAAACACTATATGGTATATACTTCATATAAAAACAAAGGTAAGTTCACTAGTGTAGAAAAGACATTATAGGATAAAGAGAAGAAACTCTCAACTGAGATTTGGAAACATGCTGGTCATAAGAGAATGTACAAGCTATCACAGTTTAGCCTACAGGAGTTCAATTTCTTATTCTAATTTGCATACTGAAATAAATCCTGTGTATTCTACATTGAGTATTTGCATATAAATTTATTTAAATTCATTACAATACAATACAACTTCATCCTATATGGAATGACTTATGTAAAGGCACTGGGTATAAATCAAATCACAAAAACTATTAATATAATTAAATATCCCTTAAAAATTTTAAAAAGTTGTACTCTTCAGTCATCAGTTTTTATACATATTTCAATTAAATTATACTTTGAAAGTGTCTTTAAAAACTATATTTATTATTTTTAATGATATATTACCAGGAAAACAATTTCTCACCAACAAATGTAAAATAATGATATTAATCTAAAAAATTGCATAAGTCTATTTATACCTGTAATAATTCACAAAATATCATTCAGACCTGTGTTGTAGCTACGCCAGTCGGCACTAGCATTTGTTAACCAGGCCAGAGAGCAAATTTTTAAAATTTGACCGGCACAAAATGTGTGTAAACTTTAATTAAATTATCAGTTAAATATGTCACTCATAATATTCATATATTCCAATGTGGAAAGTCAAAACTTTGACCCTGAAATTCTTGAAGCGGCCTATTTTACACCGGTTATCAACCTATTCTTACTTACAATTCCAAATCATGAATAGCGGCGAACACCATGGCAGCCTGCCAGCTGTCTCTCTCTCTCTCTCTCTCTCGTACTATCTAGGCTAGCCCTATTAATTAACCCCACTCGGAAATAGCCGGCACTCAAATCCGGCTAGCTACAACACTGATTCAGACTATTCATTAA